AAAAAACACTATTTTTCATCTCAAAATATAAACAATGGTAAGACGGCAAGTTAAGTTATTTTATACAAAGTTTGGCATACCCGTAAAAAGGAGCTTGTTCTTCACAACACGAAAACTCGACACTAACAGAGATAGTCTGTTACTACAATCTTTGCGGTGCATGATCGGAAATTCAGGTGGATTAGGCAAAGCAGTTGATCTGTCTCATCCAGATGTTACGTCATACAGATTATTACCTTACCAAAAAAAACAAACAAAAAAAAAAACAACACAAACATATTTTAAAAAACCCATTAAGTTTCTGACCGACATGTGACGTCATTCTATTCTAAAAGTCAGATTTCTCCTTTCGCCGTATCACTGTTCCTAAGTCGCGAGCAGCTGCACATGCATCTACTCGGTGTTTTTCGTCTGGCAGCCAGCAGGCCTAAACAACAAAAAAGTAATCGTCTCCCCCCCATAATGATTAGACAGTTTTCTTTGATTTCTAAACCTCACGATACGTGGCCAGAAAGACGTTTCTAAGGACCAGCGGTTCAATGCCCTAAAAGGCTGCCGGTCATCGATTTCCAACACCCATTTCAACACAATATGTCTCTAAAGTCAAACGTCTCCCCAGACCACTCTTGACCATCTCGATGAGGAGTCACATGTACACACTATTTTATTAGAGTTATGTGTATCCTTATCTGACTACCTTTCAAAAATTAAGTCACACCTCCTGTTTTCTCGGTAAATAGTAACAACACTGGTCTTGACTTCTGTTGGCCTCTGTGGGCAAAATTACACGTTCGTTTTATTAGTACTAGCCCCCCGTAGGATTAGTCCAAAAACCCGCACTCCCCTTTAGGTATAGGCCAATACACCCCCCTCCCCAAGTTATTAGTCTTGTAGTTTTACTACAACCTAGTTATAGTCCTAACTTTCCCTAAGTTATAGCAATATCCCCGTAAGTTATTAGTCTTATAGTCTTACTACAACCTAAGTTATAGCAATATCCCCATAAGTTGTTAGTCTTATAGTCTTACTACAACCTAAGTTATAGCAATATCCCCATAAGTTATTAGTCTTATAGTCTTACTACAACCTAGTTATAGTCCTAACTTCCCCTAAGTTATAGCAATATCCCCATAAGTTATTAGTCGTATAGTCTTAACTACCACCTTGTTATAGTCCTAACTCCCCCTGAGGCGTACTGCTGACTACCCTTTAATACTACCGCTACCTTTTATACTCCCCACTCTGTACTTTACAAAAAATTCCTTTTGATTTAATAGCGTCCCAACCTTCCTTTTGTTCTATTTACATTTAAGACTGAGATCAAGGTGCATGTCAAGCCAGCCTTTTGCAGGTGTACAATAACTGACAACATAAAATATAATACCTGGCTCACCTCTGTGATCACCTTAAGGGTTATGGCGCTATGTATATTACAATAGCCAATCACAGGTTTAATAGGCGTTTCCTAACTTTTTATTTCTGTTTCAGGTCGCCTGAATCTGAAATTTTCCTTGCAGGTCTCCTGAATCTGAAATGTTCGTTGCAGGTCCTCTGATTCTGACATTTTCACTGCATGTCCTCCGAATCTGACATTTTCATTGCAGGTCCGCTGAATCTGACATTTTCCCTGCAGGTCTCCTGAATCTGACATTTTTGATGCAGGTCCTCTGAATTTGAAATTTTCATTGCATGTCCTCTGAATCTGACATTTTCCCTGCAGGTCTCCTGCATCTGAAATTTTCGCCACAGGTCCAATGAATCTAACATTTTCGCTGCCTCTTAACATGAATCAATGAAAAAAAAGGTAAGTTAATCATGACATTAAAAAAAAAAAAACTTTAAAAAATAAATATTTACCAATCTGGAAAAAGTAAATTCAAAAGCAAGCTTGAGTTCATGTGAGTGCACCAATGCTTAGTATTAAATGATGCGATTAGAGTGTCACTGAGACTGAATGCACAAAACTTAGTTTGTTACGTGTTCTTCCCCTCTCCCATCCATACCGTCCGTTTGCCCCTCTCTCCTCCCGCCCTTTCCGCCCCCACACACCCCTGCATAGGAACAATAAGGAACCCAATTTGAGAATCCCTCAAAGCTGCGATTCAAAAGCCCGAATGATTTATGATTTATTTTCACCCGTAGATACGTCCGATCGGTTATGAAAGAGATCACAGTATCACAAACCTTATCTCAGCTAATAATAAACTCAACTGGAAACCACGTTGATATTTAGTTTCCTCGGACTTGCCATTTCCCAGATTTGTCCCCTCGGGTCGCTGTAGTCTCCATTAGACCCCTTTGTTAAAATATCATATGAAACTTACAAAGGACCGAAACCACAAGGGATACAATGACACTGAGATGATTGCAGCTCTCCTTCGTAATATCCTTTTTGTATATTCATGCACATGACACTTGCATTTTTGATGGTTGCAAAAAGTTATAAGAAAAGCGTTTTTTTTAAAAATGAAAATTCAAAATAGTACAATTATTGTAGTACAAATAATCACAGATGGGCCAATTCAGCAACAACAAATAAAAATATTTTTTTTTTCTATTAAGAAATAATTGTAAAAAAATAATATTTAGAAAAAAAAAACTAATTAAAAAGAAAGAAATTAAAACTAGAATATCCTTCTATTAGGCAGAGGCTAGGTGTTCTGGTGATTGATGATGGAATCGAATATGTCATTTTAATTCTTTCTTTCTAAATAAGGAAGAAAATTGTTATAAGCATGAGTCGTAGACTGCGAGGTCAAGTGTCGGGAACTCATCATTTCAGAACTTCGCTGGATTTTTTCCTTAAGGTTAATATTGTTTTTGTGTAGTATCAATCTCATTGGTTGGTGCATTACTTGTTTCTCACTTAATTTGTCTTAATATGTGAACCAATTTTTTTAGACAGTCTCGCTGCTATTCTATCCCCCCCCCCCCGTACCGACACCACTGGCTGTATGACACGATGTGCTACGAAAACACCCGACGGGGTAAAGATAATAAAAAAAACAACAACCATACCTGGGCCCTCCAGTACCGACACCACTGGCTGTATGACACGATGTGCTACGAAAACACCCGACGGGGTAAAGATAATAAAAAAAACAACAACCATACCTGGGCCCTCCACGGCGATTACGTCCAGCACGCCGCCTTTAAGTTTTTTCGCCAATAACGTCAACCAGACAAAACATCTTTACGGGGGTGCTTTTCATAAAACTTTTTAAAAAGGTGGGGGGGGGGGCACAAGAACCAAATCAATATTGGCTCACCGTCATCGATCGATACCTATAGGTAGGGGGCGGAGCTGTCTTCACAAAATGATTTGCTTTAATTCATGCACAGGCACTTGCCTGGCGTGTGTGGTATGTAGTCCTATATAATACTAAAATATTGTGTGTGTGTTAAGCTTTGATAACGATCGTGTTAGAGAGTAAAAGCTTTAAAGAAAATTTAAAGCACCACTTTGGAGACGGAAAACGTTGGCCATTTTCTTGACGAGAGTTTTTAAATTCGCCTTAAGTCTCAGCTTATGACGTTATAGATGGCGGGATGTTAGGATTTGAGAGAACAATAATTCATATATTAAAGACTTTCTTTCGAAGACGAGTTTAATCGCATTAAAAAGTAGAAAATAGTTTTATTAAAATTTCGTACAATTCATTACGCAAAGAAAGTATGTGCAGAAGGATAGTAAGACAATATATAAAGTAAAAAATATCCAATTAAATGTAAAATAAACTTAAATATATTTATTTCTTTTTTTTTTTTGAAGAAAACAAAACTCTTAAATTTTAAGCAAATTTTTATTAAAATTTTATATTTTAACTAATTATTATTACATTGTCACATATTTTTAGATTTTGTAAAATTTAGAATGAAAATTTTAATCTGTAAATTATCGACAAAAGAAGATTAAAAAGCATCAGCAACAGGTGCTTGCTAAATTCCGTGTATGGGGGCTTAGCTCTTGACTCAGGCGTTAAGTAAAAAGAATTTTTACACCTACTTGTCGATCAGCGTCTCAATGCCAAAATGCCCTGCCCCCAAAGCCTTCCCCCATCCCAAAGTCCTACAGTTAGGACCAATGGTTATTGTAAGGGAACGGGTAAGGTGGTTTTTTTTTTAAATAGCCTTTTATAATTACCGTATATACTCGCATATAAGCCTACATCTCATATAAGCCGACCACCTAAAACTGCTTTAAAATGGCCAGATTTTGCAAAAACCCGCATATAAGCTGACCATACAATAGTATAATTTTACTCCATATTTTTGGTTCATAGAAATGTGTTACTGTCAAGATGTAAAATGCTTACTTTTATGTTACATACCAGTTTGTTTACCTTTTGGAATGACACAAAAACGTGTTCTGCTCTTTCATACTCAGTATAATTATCAGCTATGCATACATTAAATTCTTTGAAGTGACACCTCTGTATATATATATAAGTACTCTGTACACACAACCAAATAAAGAGTGAGATAGCGATGAAAATGTGTGGCTCGAAAATTGGCATTAGTGTCTGTCCTTGTGTCCATTTTGTTTTATGCGCATATAAGCTAACCCCCTCATTTCAGTCAGTATTGTATTTTATAGTTCTAAATTCGGTTATAGGCGAGTATATATGGTACCCATCACTCACCAACCCAACCGCTCACTTCCGCGACCCATCATGCCGGAGATGTAGCTGTGTGTCAACATCTCAGATGCGACCTTCTAGGTCAGCATGAGGAAGACTGAATCGACCGAGTGAAAGGGTCACGTGTTACAGACAACTCAAAATTATGCTACAAACCGACAGACCACATGTATTTGCGAGTAGAAAGAAAGTCTTTTAAAAATAAATTCAGAATGACGTCATACATAGGTGTATATCAGTCAGTAAAATTCTGAACACATTTAAAGTGCAGCTATGAGGTAAGTGGTTTATTCTTTGTATATACTGAAGAATTTAAGTCCAAATTATCCTGGTTATTTTTGTCCAAAAACATTTTCTAGTGTTGTAGGCATTTTACGACTCCAGTTAGCTTTAAACAAAAAAAAAGGACCGATTCCCACACCGACTCCGATTCTCACTAAACGCCCAGATCTGTTGTCAGGCATTCATTCCGGCAAATGAAAGGGAGAGGTGCCGTGGCTAGATAATCTTAAACGTTGTTTGCAATGATTGATCTGGTGGCTAAGGGAGTAACGCTGTACCTGTGTCGCAGAACAGCCGAAAGTGAACGGCTCAGTGAACACATTTAATTTCCCTATAGGAGTTTAAACCGTGGTTCTACAATTGTGGTCGTTTTCTGACTCAGTAGTGTGTGTCACCACAGGATGTAAGGGGATTTATGGTGATCTTCTCAACGGTAAGGATTTAAGTTATCATTTTTTTTTTTTTGCTAATGAAAATAGGTCAGTACATTTAACTATAGATACGTTTATATACCGCTTCTACGATGCAAGATGTAGAAAAAACTGTTTAAAAAAAATGTAAACAAAAACTCAAATTCTTAAAATATTTTCTTTTTCTTTTTAAATCCATAACAAAAACTTGAGCCGGAAAATTGGAACTAAATAAGTTGGCACACCTTTAAATTAAACTATCAGTTTAGTCATTAAAACTCGAATTCAATAAACTTGAAAGTTGATGTTATTTTAATAAATAAAGTTAAATAAATTTTTTTTTAAAAACTTGTTAATTTACACCATCTAACTTTAGCTCATGTCATTACGCTTTTCTGGTATGTTTTTTTTTTGTGGAAATCAAATGTTCTTAAATAATATCATTCAGAATAAAAGGAATCGAAATTAAAAACGACAAGAAATAAATAAGCTGTCTAATGAACATACATTATAAAAATAGTTTCCAATTTTTTCTCCTCCCTTAACTACATGTTGAACTTTTCACTAAACCCACCAAGCAAGCTCTGCAGAAAAGAGAAGCATTCAGTACATGGTTGGAGTCATAAAGTCTTAAAACTGAATAGTAGGGCCTAATCTATTTGAATAGTATCCAGCTCCCAGTTGTAGGACGACGATTTAAGATCGATATTTTTTTTACTGTTTGCCAAAATATAAATACATGTTTCTTTTTGCCTCCACTATAAGAATATTGTGCCCCCATAGTTTAATAAATGCAAAAATATGCTCGTAAATGAAGTCTTCTATAAAGATGCATGTATTCTTGCCACCTCCAACTTTTTGACAGGGTACACGCCAGTGCGCACGCTTGTAGTCAACGTCAAAATAACCAGGCTAGATTTAAGTCCAAGACTATATGGCCTCAAAGCTATTCACCTTGTTCCATTGTGTCACTGAGAATGGTACGTCCTCTTGTTGAAAGCCAAGTTTTCAGCCTTACAGATTGGTGGTTCCGTTAAGGCTTTCTATTATATTATAAAGCATGAAGTCGTTATTTTGTACCCCCACCCTTTCTTCAGCAAACTATACATGACTCTAACGCCTGAGTCAAAGTTAATAGCAAATCGATTTTTCTTAAACCCATTATTATTAAAAATATTGACTACTATTTTATATTAGATCTAGTGCACCGTAAGAGATGGTGTTTCCACTACGAATGCACAATCAAGTTTTTGTCACACTAATTTTTTTATTTTTTTTTGGGGGGGGGGTGGGCTTTAGTAACAACCTTTAACAACCTTGTAACATGGTTATTTAAAGATAAGTTGTCTGTGAAGTAACATTTTAGTTTAAGCCGCCTACACCATTTTTGTGTGTGTGTGCAAAGTATGGCGTTATGGTTCACTGATCTTATAAGCTCTACCCATTAAGGTAAAGCAGCAATCGGGTAAACTCTAAAAGGAATAATTTAACCTGCTCTTAACCGTCCCCTAGTTGATCAAGTCTTCTGTTTATTTTCGTCACTGTGTTTAATGTTTAAAAAAAAAACAATATCACATAACAAAATAACTTACATCCCATTGCCTTACGGAGCCGACATTTGTTATTGAAACCCAAACGATAAATACAACCAAAATAAATAAAAACAATATTTACAAAAAAAAAAACAAGAAAAAAAACCCAATTAGTTGCATTTGTTAAAAATTTAACAAATCCAAAGTATTACTGTAGTGGTGATGAGGCTATTCCTAAATATCACAAATCTTAAGTATTACTGTAGAGGTGATGAGGCTATTCCTAAATATCTCAAATCGTAAGTATTACTGTAGTGGTGATGAGGCTATTCCAAAATATCACAAATCTTAAGTATTACTGTAGAGGTGATGAGGCTATTCCTAAATATCTCAAATCGTAAGTATTACTGTAGTGGTGATGAGGCTATTCCAAAATATCACAAATCTTAAGTATTAATATAATGAAAAGGCTACTCCAGTAGAGGCCTCTTTAACATAGCACGGCATCATGCAGTGTTTGAATAATGCATGCTTCTGAAATGGGTCGGTCGGTCATCTTTCTCTTACAGCCGAATGATACAAAACTTAACCAAATTTAAAGGAGGAGGATGAACTCACCAATTTATACATTAAATCTATCTGGTCAAAACGAACAGGAAGTTTCAGTCTTTTAATTTTGTAAGCCTTATCATTGGATAATTTAATCGCTTTGCCAACAATTGAAAAGAAGGGCAGATAATAATTCCAAATGCAAGATTTCTTTCCCTTTTCAATATAGGATTCAATAATATTGAAATCTAACATTTGTCTTCTGCTCACAAAAAAAAAAAAAAAAAAAAAAAATTTTAAAGAAGGATTTCTTTTCCAATCCAATTTTTAAATTTTTTTTGGGGAGGGCTGTCGAAGCCAACTATCTAACGATACATGTTTATTGATAAGTTTATGCTGGCGTCTGACTTATCATTCCAATGATTTGCGTCAAGGGATGGGCTTCAGTGGTCGATTTTTAATCTCCTGAGTAAAACCAATTTGTTTAAAGAAAAACACATCAAAATGTGAAAGGAAGACAGACACGTTAAGGTCAACATGTGTTGAATCAGAATAAATAAACCACCAATGACATGGCAGTACGAGCCGTTGGTTGCAACTCCTGCGTTACCGACAGAAATATCAATAAATAGTGGCTTTGATTTGATACAAACATGAACCTGTAAGATGCAGTCCTTTGAAACCAGTAGAAGCTAAGTTCATGTTAGGGTCCTTTATGGAATCTTCCCGAATGGTTTCAACATATGAGACATGTGCATCTCACGCAAATCCCCACTACGTTGCATGAAGGGAGAGTATCTAGGTCAGTGGTTCTCGACCTTCCTAATGCCGCGACCCTTTAATGCAGTTCCTCATGTTGTGGCGACCCCCCAGCTACAAAATTATTTTCGTTTATTACTTCATAACTGTAGATTATGTGTTTTCCGATGGTCATGATGCAACCCCTGAGAAAGGGTCGTTCGACCTCCAAAGGGGTCGCGACCCACAGGTTGAGAACCGCTGTTCTGGGTAGTCGTTTCCTACAAGAAAACATCATTATAGACGTAGCGAAAACCAAAAACCCCTCCAAAAAAAATTTGAAAACAAAAATTAACGGAAGGGGAAGTTCTATAATACACGACCCCAAACTCTTAAGAAGAATAAAGTGTCAGTTGACCGAGGGGTTTATAAGGGGAAATCGATCAGGAAACGCACGCCCCAGTGAAATACGCCAGCGGTGTAATCGTAATAGGAGAACAAGGTATATTGAAGCCTGAAATAGAAAGACAGGCCAATAAAATATGAATGTTTCGAGCCTCCATTTGGACTGTCTGGGGAAGGCTCATAACTGAAACGTTCTTCTTGTACTGTCCTGTCTTTCTGTTTCAAGCCTCCACACAACTTGTTCTTCTATTTACTTCACACAACTTCAACGCAATTCCTTCCCTTTATTATTGTTTAATTCTAATAGTTTTTTCTCTCTTTCCATCCGATCTTTCACTTTCATTTGCTAAATTAATGTTTTTGCCTTTGTATGAATGTACAACAATACAACTTGGGGAAGAAATTTATTTAATTCTGCTTTGTGTGATGGTAAAAAAAAAAAAAAGATATAAGCGTGCCACTTCAGGCACGCGTGTCAGCTATTGTCCACCATTGTATTAAAGTGTGTTTACCGTTCACCAAACAGTTGACGCACTGGGTCAAAGTTCGTGCCAGGTTTCCAAACGACGCCTACCCAAACAGTCGCACTAAACAGCCGGGGATCAGCTGGCCATGTAGAGATTGCTATCCGCAGATATTAATCACAAGTTTCGGGCGCCCCCGGTTCTAGTCAATGCACGGCGCTTACAAGCAAACAATAAATCCAGGGAGAGTAAACAAAAAAAACTGTAAGGGGAAATAGAACATTTGTGCTTGGTGTGTTGGAGGATATTTCTCAATTTATTTGTCGGCCGCTGAAGTAACGGCTGCGTGGGTTTTCAGTTCAAGTTCACTATGGACATTCAACAAAATTCAGTAGTGAACACAGCGCCGTTGAGTAGGAGTCATACTTCTGTGACTCAGATTCCAACCACTAATGCTAAGATTAATTATTCGATATTTGTTACGGGTAGATTGTAAACAAGAGAATGAAAACCCTGTTTTGGGTGTTGTCCACATTGAAAAAAAAAAGATTTAGAGGAATTTTCATTCTAGCCTAGGGTGACCAAACGTCCCGTAGAAACGGGATTGTCCCGTTTCTTCACGATCGTACCGGGTGTCCCCGAAAAAGTCTCTCGGGACAACTAAATGTCCCGTTTCTAAAACAAAACACATTTTCAAATCACTCAAACTTCTAATTTATAATATAACCTCAAGTAAATAGTGCCCCCCCCCAACCCTAGTTGGGTGTGTCCCGTTTTTTTCCATTTCATGATTTGGTCACCCTACTCTAGCCTTGCAGCCATGGTTGTCAATTGAGATATCCATTAAAAAACAACAAAAAAACTGTGGATTGTTTTATTTATTTGGCATCGCATTCCAAGATCATGTTTATAATACACGAGCTTTTGTGATGTTCAAATACGGAGCTGTTGGATTAAAATGAATCGACTTTTTTGTTTAACAATGCGATACGTCCACGTAAAGTTGAAGTTGGGTTTTATACAAAGGTTGAATTAATTTTGACCCTAAATGAAAGAACGCGTTGGTATCATAATGTTGAAGTCACAATTTTACATGTTTCTTTTAAGGAGTACTCAATTCTCAAAACGTACTTTTTTTTTTTAAAGCAATCGATAACATTTTATCTCAAGTCAAGGTCATTCAGTGAGACTTTTGCTGGACCTGAATTGGAGTGATACACGTTAAGCCAACAAATTTTTAAAATATAAAAAAAACTTAAAAATGTGATGATTTTTTCCCCTTATATATTATATTTGTAGTTGACAGACTAAACGTTCTAACGAAATTCATAAAAAAAACAAGGTTGTTATAGTATGAATACAAAATCGTCTTGGTTATAGCTTCCTCACAAAAAAATTCCCAGGTACCTTACTTTGTGAAATAAAAAACTTTATGACTATTCTTATCTTCTTAAATATTACAGAGGAAAAGCTTTGAGCAGTCTCTGATTAACAAAGTCGCCCTGGTTCATTTTCTGTCTTAACTCATTGCGAATTTCCATAATGCTATGCAAGTCTTCAAATTATTATATTTTGTGTTATTTTAAAAAATAAATGTTTGTTTTCAGATCCACCAAAGTGTGTGCCGCTGAAGTAACCATGGCAACGTGTGATGATATCCCATACACTGACACAAAGTAATCCCATCGCAGCCCCATAGGCCACGAGAATGGGGTGCGGAAGTTCAAAGAGCACAGGGGCTGGCGGAGATGGAGCACCCAAACAGAGTGGTGCCAGGAACGATAACCCTCCCATAGATCCGGTAATTTGATGATTTCGGTCAAAACGCATTTATAGAATGTTTAAAAAATAAAATAATTGTGCTTTTTAACTCTCTAATCCAGTGGTTCTCAACCTTTCTGATGCCGCGACCCATTTAATACAGCTCCTCATGTTGTGGCGACCCCCCCCCCCCACCAAAAAAAAATATTTTAGTTGATACTTTATAACGCTAGAGTAAATGATGTTTCAAATGGTCTTAAACCTTTCTGATGCCGCGACCCATTTAATACAGCCCCTCATGTTGTGGCGACCCCCCCCCCCACCAAAAAAAAATATTTTCGTTGATACTTTATAACTGTAGAGTAAATGTGTTTTCAAATGGTCTTAGGTGACCCCTGTAAAAGGGTCGTGCGACCCCCAAAGGGGTTGCGACCCACAGGTTGAGAACCGCTGCTCTAATCTGTCACTTCCTTTAAATGAATCAACTTAAAAAATAAAATACAATTAGTCATAAAGACTGTTTGATTAAGTAGAGTCAATTTTTTTCATTTAAAAAATAAAGAAAGGAAAATAAAAGAAAGGGAAACAAAAGAAAAAAAAAGACGATAGAAAACAAAAAGAAAAAAGAAAGAAAGAAAAAAGAAAGAAAGAAAGAAAGAAGAAAGAGAAAAAAAAAAGAAAGAAAAAAGAAAGAAAAGAAAGAAATGAACCTGTTTCCAATATCAACCTTGGTTAATTTTAGGTGTGCAATTTTAGATAAATTCGTAACCCAAAGTTTTATTCAAATGCAACGTCACTTTAAAACAGATTAATGTGCCTGACCTTGACCCCAAGTACCCAGCACCGACACCGCCGCCAAACGGAAGAGATCAGATCTACAAACCTGCGGAGTATTCAGCCATTGATGCACGGGTCAAGCAGGTAAGGGGGCCACGCTCTGCCATTGTCAGAAGAGACGACTGTCTTGACATTAGAGAATAAATAATGATCAAATTGAACTCTTGAATGAAATGCTGACATGAGATCTTCTCTGCCTTAATCTCTCATTAGTTGTTAGCCTCCCAACCATTTTTTTTACATCACGCATGTATCTCTTTTTTTTATTGTATAAAAAAAGCTAAGACAGTATCAGTATATATATTTAATATTGCGCCGAGTTGTCTACCATATTTCGATTTCGGTGGTTGAGCATTCATTAAAAAAAAAATTTGACACAAAGTGTAACCATTTACCAAAGAATTGCTGCCTCACTAGGATGACAAGTTCATTCTGCTCCGCATCACAGATATACTTTTTCAGATTATTATTTTTTGCTATCTGCTGTTTACATTAATTAGATAAAGGTATACACAATCTAAACGTAAAGCTGGGCGTACCGAGCACTGTCACATCGACACATACTTCAGTAGGCTAGACGATAAACAGGGACCCAACCTGCCGGCATTGCAGTCTCGTCCCCGGAAACTCTAGCGCATTTGTTGACCGAAAAGACCGTCACTAGACGTTTGGGGGGGGGGGTGAGGCCAGGGCAGCGGGAGAGTTGATTGCCAATGTACTAGCCGGAATTATAAGAGAGTAATTTCAGACCCTCAACAGAATATGTGCGTTAGTTAGCTGGGCTCGAATTTTATCATTGTTGTGTGTGCTTTTTTCACCCCCCCACCCCTCCATCAGCAACTCAATAGCATTCGACCAACAACCTATGACGCCCTCATCAAGTCACTATGCGCAAACTGCACCACAGACCTACAGAAGCTTCGCGCCATCATGGTCTGGTTGTTCCATCAGGATATTTACGGTTCCTTCTACAACGGCGTCACCGACCCCTACACTCCAAGGGGTTACATGAAGCTAATGAAACAAGGCAGTGGATCCTACGAGTCTTTCTTCACCCAGCTGTGCAGGTTTGTGTCATACTCATGGGCGTGTCCGACAAGGAGAAAACAATTTGGGGGAGGCAAAGAGCTCTATTTATGTATAATAAAAGAAATAAGTTTAACACTTTTAAATAATTACAGGGCCTTCTAGAATAGCACAGAAAGAAGAATGTGAGTGAGAATAAAGAAACATGTTTTGGTCTGCCGCCAGAATTCAGTGTTTGGGCATGAAAGTAGAATTAATGACATCGAGCGGGGAAAATTGATTCATTTCATTTTAGAGCATTTTGATTCTGAAACCTTGAATTTGTTTGTCAGTAGTTTTATTTACATTACTGTTCCATTGTTCGACAATGCAGAAATCTATACTTTAATTTGAAATTAAGAAGATGGATTTAAAAAAAAAAAAATAAAAATAAATAAATCGTACAGTATATAGATTGATTGTCATTCTTCCAGTCAAAATATCCCCAGAAATTGTTTGAGCTGTTAATGAATACCTTCCAATGACATAATTTAAAAAAAAAAAAATAACTATGACTAAGCAGCATGTAAGTTATAATAGTTATATATTATTAATGAAGCTACGGCAGTGTAAACTCGGTACACTATTGTTGTAGTTAAGGTAAATTTTTCCATTTTTTGTGCCCCACCAGAGCTGCCGGAATTCAATGCGTGGTCATCAGGGGCGTGGCCAAAGGGGACAAATATGACGTGGGGCAGCAAGACATGACCCAGCTGGAGAGCGCTTGGAATGGTGTCTATGTCGCAGGGGGCTGGAGGCTGGTCCACCCTCTGTGGGCGATCTTCAAAGAAAAGAAAATCAATAAGAATGGGTAGGTTTGTTTAAGGTAAACAAGGTTGCGAGTTCAGGTTTTCGAAAGTTGTTCAGGCAATTAAATAAGAAAAAGAGAAGTAGAATGGTTCGTAGCATAAAAAGAAAATTATTGGCTACAAAATAATAGAAGTTTTTGAATTTTAATTAATACGATATCAATGGCACACGTGATTCACTAATAAATATAACATGTTATCTGGAATACATATTAAATATGTGTACAGAATACATGATTCAGGAAATTTCGGATCAGTAGGTTGAATTTGGATTCCATTCTTTTAAAATACATATTTCTTACGTAATATCATGATCGTTTAGTATAATCAATATCCAATTATAATGATTGATGAGGAATATTTGGTTTTCCCTCTTAGTGGGGTTGCTTTGTTGTCAAGCTGGTTTCTTCTATGTATATGTGCTTATTCTGAAATAGGGTATTAGTTCAACGAATGAGGAAAAAAATGACTTTGAATTGATTACTATTTCATGTATGAGTATAGATCAATGGTTATATCCAACATATGGCGTTCACTTTCTGTGTCACACATATTTTACACCCCCCCCCTCTGTTTGGAATATAGAAAACAAAAATATTACTTAAATTTCGAGTACGATCTCCCAATCATTTCGTCATTTAAAAAGGAGTTGTAAGGCCTCAGGGGCATGTGAATGCACTCAGTTTTTCAAATCTCTGTCAAGTTTCTGAGAGTCTCATCACTTTTCGTTACATCTGTATTCCGCCACACCGTGCAGAGTCTTCATAGTCTCAACGTCTGTAACTTTTCTCTAACTTGGTTATTTTTCTCGTCTTAATCCAGCAAACCGCCAACTCCGGGGACCAAGAACCCATCCCTGGACGACTTCTTTTTCCTGATCGACCCCAACAAGATGATCTGCTTCTGTAAGCCTCACGCCGACCCTTGGCAGCTCCTCAAGGTGAAGTGGGAACACCGGAAGTTTGTCAAAAGCCCCAAATTTACCCAACACTATTTCACTTCCGGTCTCATGTTGCCCAAAAAATACAACGCCATAATATACAGCGACAACGGCATCTGCGTCATAGACTTCGACCACCAGTCGTACGCCGAGCCGACCATAGACGCTAAGGTTAAGTTTATTCAGGAGATGTCCAGCGACGAGATGCCGGCCAACGTAAACCTAAATGACTACACCGTTCGGGCGGGCTCATCCACTAGAAAATCTGTAGTGATTCGGTTCCCGGTTCGGGGCCGATACGAGGTAGATGTATTCGGAGGCACGGAGGCGAAGGAGCCGAAGATCGTAGAGTTTAGGATAGAGTGCGATGACGTGGGCAGGAGCCCGCAGCCTTTCCCGATGAACCCGGCCAACGGGTTCGGACTTCAGCCCGCCGCAAGTCAGTTCGGTATCTCAGATCCGGTTCCGGATTCCGGAATCATCCAGGTGAGACCCGCCCAGGTGAAACACTTCTCGTTTACGTGCACGCAGAAGCTGGAGGCCCAGGCCAGCTTGTTCCACAACACGGTGAACTCGGAGAGCTTCGAGGATTTCATCACGACTAAAGCCATGCCGGACGAGGTGCACGTCACCGTGGCCGTGCCGGACGAGCCTCATTTAGAGTATGCCTTGCAGGTCAGTGAAGTGTGGAGTGATCACTAACACGAGTAGAGCAGCTCTTTTAACCCCACGTGTGCTTAGATTAGCAGACCAGAGCCCTATATGGGCTGTAGTGTCATTGGTGATGATGATACGTGATTAGATTAGGTCTGGTAAAAAGATAGTAACGCTTTATTTTGGAGATTAAGACCTACACGGACATAATGTATTAGGACTTATCTCAAAGCAAGCGTGAATACATGTTATGTTTGTAACGTTTTTGTCTATCTTAGGGTTGATATTGAAATACTAACACAGTCGGATGATAGATCCAGAAAAAAAACAGGAGAGAATAAAGTGTCTTATTGCGTTTTTAAAGCTTACTTCTGGGAACAGAAACTAATTAAAGACCCATTAGTTCACATCTACTATCTCGTTTATATGTTGATACAGAGGTATTCAACACAAATTTCTTTAATTTATTGAATACATTCTATAATTTTCCACATCTTCCTAACGTTCAATGTTTCAGCGGGTGCAATATAATTCCACACATTTTGTGTTCATTAACTATGAATTAGTCTTAAGGATATCTCTACTTTTTTTTCCTACATTCTGTCAATGTTCGTGACAAAAAACACCGATATTTAGAGCACCTGTTTACCTTAACGTCAAGAACACATATTGGCTATCGGCTGCGGACAGCCAAGTCCAAGCTTCCTATCATAGACACAGCCATAGTTCATTTTGTATTTAGCGATTCAAATTTGTTAATGGTTAGAAATACATTCTTTTAACTTTTATGTTATTTGAATAGAAAGCCCACGGCTACACGTGACTATTTAAGGATACATTTTTGTAAATCTTAATTTTTTTTATTACAAACATGTTATTTAAGTGAATTTGCGTGTTTACATCAGCATTTTAAAATTTGTTTGTTAAAAAGATATATTTGAAAAAATTATGGCATTTTTTGAAACTTTAAAAAAAAAAAAAAAAAAAAAGATGTAAATAATCATGAATTTTAAAATTTGTTTTTTAAAAAAAAATATTTAAAAAAATAATTGAATTTTTTGAAAATTTAAAAAAAAAAAAAAAAAAAAGATGTAAATAATCATGAATTTTACGTTAGTGAACTAATTTCCCGTCTTTAACTTTGATGTCTTGTCATTAGGGAATTAAGGAAATGCCTTTTTTTTAGCGGGGTATAAATAATTTTGTCTGCCTGGATCTCATCTAAGGAAAGCTTGTGTTTAAGCGAGTTAAGTCACTTTTAGCAACAGACGAGACGGTCTCATTTCTGAGTTTTTAAAGAGATGGTTTCCCCTAAAGGGAATTTTTTTTAAAAAAAAGCGATCCAAAGACCAATTGCCGCCAATTGGAAAACTAGCCAAGTATAGCCTGGTGTCGGATGCATGTTTCTGGGATAACTCGTGTATAGCCTAACCCGTAATCAGATCACGTCAACAAACTGACCACTGACAACACTGTTCTGAGATAAAGGGAAACTCTGGAATGGTGAACAAAGTGGAGGGCCAGATGGCTCAATCGTGTTGGTGAAATGGTGTCTTTAAAAAATGTTCGACTTGACAACAAAAGGCAGGGCCTCGGGAGAAACCTTCGTCGAATTTCCTTCTGTTTCCCCACGATTTATTTCTTGGATACCATCTTCAAATGTACTCATTGATCTTCAAATCACTTTATTCATTGCACATCGATTCAGGTACTTAATATGTAGTGGAAATAAGGAACATACGGTAGGTGAAAACTTGATAAAAGTCAAAGCAAAACAATGAAAGGTGTCGGCCAGAAGCTTACGTCAGGGAACAACGAATCTGGCAAAATGAAATATAAAATAGCATCAACACAGCTCACAAAAAAAATGAATCGCCGTTTCTCAACCAGAGAAAGAAGAACTGGGTTATGCGTTAATTATTTCCTTATCTTAAAACGTGATCACTGTCTGCACCATATTATGCCTTAACATATGCAGTAGCAGCTTCATAAAGAGATGACAAACATCAAATTTAATGAGGTAAAAAAAATTTTATAAATTTTTTTTTTTTTTTTTTTTTTTTATTTTGTGTGGCAATTAAATAGAGGAATTTGAAGTAGGTAGGTGGTCATTTAAAGAAAAGATGACATTAATATATATTTAGTGTGTGGCAATTAAATAGAGGAATTTGAAGTAGGTAGGTGGTCATTAAAAGAAAAGATGACATTAATATATATTTAGTGTGTGGCAATTAAATAGAGGAATTTGAAGTAGGTAGGTGGTCATTAAAAGTAAATCTATATGAATGTCATCTTTTTGATGAAAAAAAATAGAATAAGATAAATGCATGTTCACCGCCTGAAACAAGGCCGTCAACTCTAAACATATGTCCATCGTTTAATAATTCTAGAGGTGTTAGAGGTGTTAATGTTTTCTTATTTTTTTTTTTTCATTTTATTTAATTTAATCTTCATTGGAATGTAAAGCATACGCATACAGTAGTATGAAATAACCCATCTCTCCCCCCCCCCAACTCCTCACCCCACCTTACANCCCCCCCCAATTACCACAAAAAAAAACAAAAAAAAAACACGTTAAAGTCTTTAACAGTTGCTTCTTATTTTTTTCAAAATAAATTAAAATATTTTAATCCGACAATAGCATGGGACAAAATCTTAATAATTAAGGGAATATTTGAGATAAAAGATATGCTTCTCTTCTTTAATGTAATTATTGTTTGGGACATAGACCTAAAAGTTACGACTATTTTAAAACATAAGACATTTCCCACACGATCGAGACAACTGAAGACAACATAAGCTATTTTTTTAAAATTAAAATTCTAACGTTGACAAATATCACTGAGTAGAACGAGGAAGAGCGGATAAGAAAGGCCATCATAGCCGCCACCCAGAAGAACGACATCGCCAAGCTGGAATATGCCATAGAGGAGTTTGAGAGAAATGGTCTTCCAGACAACGGAGACCTGACGAGGGCCAGACACAAACTGGTCCAATTACATTTACAACGTACGTATGGTGTGGTACGACACTGATGTCATTGAGATTATAGTAGGATATTGTATTTAATAGTGGTGTTTTTTTTTTTTTTGGGGGGGGGGGGGTAAAGGTAGAACATTATTGGCTAATAAAGTGATACCATTTGTTAGAATAAGATAGTCTAACAGATGGTATCTTATTATAACAAATGATAACATATCATTTGTTAAACAAGATATCATTTGACTCTAAAATAAAAGTGCGCCCATAAAAGATAAAAAAAAAAAAGAGTAAATGTATATTTTCCCCCCTAGGATTAAGGAAGACAACCCTTGACAGAAAGCTTGATGAACTAGACCACGCCATAGAGACAGCCAAGAAATCGCCAGTTGCTCAAGACCTGATCGACACCAAAGAAATGATCGTGAGTCTGGAACCCATGGATATCTCTATACTAATTAGTGCGGTCATGTAGCGTTGTTATCTTGTGTCATAGGAAACACACAGAAATGCCTTGTATTGGCTGATCTTAAATATTTATTTTCCCTGTAAGAAAAAATAAATTAGAGTTTAACACACACATTTACAAACTATTTTCCCCTTTTGGTTAAGATATATTTATTTTTTAATATTCAGATAATGACTGTGAAGAGAAATTATTTGTTTAAACCTCAGAATAACTTTAAATATATGTAATATATATTTTTTTATTAAAGCTTTACGCACACATACAAATATTGCCTTAAATACAATAGTTGAATATATATATATATTTTTTTTTTTTTTTTTAAAATAGTTATAGCTTGTCGTATGTCATACTTTGCACCTATAAATGACAAATTTAAAAATCGAAAAAATTTAGTCCTAATTGATTGTCTTTCTAAGATTTGCATACTCTGGTTTGATCCAGTTAGTACTTACCAAAACGTCTTGCCGTGAAAAGAAGGTGTCATAATATCAACCCCCCAAAAAATAATAAAAAATTTAAAAAATGAAACACTGCTTTCAAAAGATCATGACATCCTAGTTTTAAATGCCTGCCTTCTGTAGTTCCCTGTTGTCCTTTATCGTTTTCTCACCCAGGACGCCGTCATGACCCGACAGCAGCTGAAGAGACTCAGTCTGTACATGCACAAAGTCCTCGCCTTGAACAAAGCCACAATTTCTGAGATCCACAGCTATCAGAGACCACGCCCCTTGGTGCACACGGTCATGAAAGCCACCTTCAGGATCCTGGGCGAGCCAAATTACAAACTGCAGGTAAACGCCACATTTCCTGTATACAGATCAAATCAGTGCGAGAGTTATTTGGGTAGAGGAGGGTGGGGCATGTTCCCTCCCCCCCCCCTCAATTTGAAGGTTTTATTTAAATTGCTATGTATTGCCTCCAGTAATATACAACTTAACAAGCCAATCAAGTTTTGGTTTTGTCCCCCCTCCATTTGGGTAGAGGGGGGGGGGGAATGTTCCCTCCCCCCCCCCCTCAATTTGAAGGTTTTATTTAAATTGCTATGTATTGCCTCCAGTAATATACAACTTAACAAGCCAATCAAGTTTTGGTTTTGTCCCCCCTCCCCAACTTTGAAAAAAAAAAAAACTGAAATGACTTCCATGGTGCCTGGTGCCATCGACCGTGACAGCATGTTTTTGCTTACTCTGATCCCATGGCCAATATCTGTTATTATATACATCTGTCATGTATGTGTTACCTTTTAGCTAGAAATCAAAACGACTGATATTCTGATTACGCTCTCTTCTCCAAATTTTTCAAAGTTTAATTCCGTTGTTAGGTAGGTAGCGGATTTCTCAGTCCAAATGTCATAAAAGTTTGATCAAATAAAACTGCTCAGATTTTATGTTACTGCTCACGACGTTTCATCGCCTCACACTCTCACAATTTTTGTTGAGTTAGGACTGGAGTTTCATCCAGACATCCATGAGGACACTGGGTCGTAACAGCATGATCAGTAGGATGAAGAAGACGGACGTTGTCCACCTCAAGAAGATGCAGATGAAGGACGCCGAGCGGTATCTGGGCGAGACCAACAAACACCTGGTGCGCATGTGCAGTGCCGGGGCAGGAACATTCTACGTCTGGGTGAGTTGCTTTGATTCGATTGGTTGAGCGCTTACCAATGTTGACAAAGACAAACTATTTTTTTTTTTAAAATTTAAAAAAAGGACAACCGTCTAAAAAATTTTCGTGTTAAAATTTGAGAAGCTCAAACCAAGGCCCCGATCCTATTAGTTTTATTAAATAATTTATCCACTTTGAAAACTTTGCATTTCATAAACTCAGGTCTATTCTCCTATCGAGCACTAGAATCAATATTATTAGTAGTATCATTATCACGATGTACATAGGTGTTTTAGAACATATACTGTCTAACTGGTAAATCATATTCACGACACATTATTCTTGTATGTGCTACAGGGTGAGTCTGCTTCAGAATAACAATCGTAATGTATGATTTAATGCATAATGGCTGTTTTGCTTATGGTTGAAATGGCTAGAAAGACTTTGCCATTGTATGCTTTTAATTAGTTTTTGTAGTGTTGCGTTTGTTTAAAATGTGGTAAATTATATATTTGTTTCTTGTTGACTTTGTACCGTGCTTCGAGCCTTTGGGGATGAAGCGTGTTTTTGAAATGAACTTTATTATTATTATTATTATTTCATTCTACAAACAGAGCAACAACATGATATCCGAGTTCCGCGGCGAGAACAACATGGACCCACTCGAAATCTGGAACGATAAGAACAAGTGGGCCAAGACTAAGCCCAAGAAGAAAGTCAACCCCGGCGACAGCAGGGCGTCCAATCCGTTCAACGAGACCCCAAGGGACTACGACTCGTACCCCGACACTTCGCGGGATGCGAACTCGTACAGGGACACGCAGAGAGACACCAACAGAGACACTCAGAGAGACAGCTACAGGGACGCACAGAGAGACACGAAAAGAGACACAGAGAGAGACTCGAACCGAGACACCCAGAGGGACGCGCAGAGAGACACCTACAGAGACGCACACAGAGACAGCATTGATGACGACTGGAATCCCAACGCCAATTCCAGCGCCAGGAAAGACAAGTTCAGCGAGCCCGGGGATAACTCAAAGAATAAAACAAAGAGATTGGAACCCATCAACGAAAACTACAACGACAAGACGACCAAGAAGGTGAACATCAACGACGACAACGTTAAAGCCAACAAGCCTAAAAAAGTAGATGACCCCAACGCTAAAAAAACGAAAAAAGTTGATCCCTATGAGTCAAACCCTAATGCCAAAAAACAAAAGAAAAATGAGCCCGGAGATGAAAATGTGAGGCCAAAGAAACCCATAAAATCGTACGAGGACCCCAACGATAGACGTTATTCGGAGCACTTCGACTCCACTCTGCCCCCAGGCCGACGATAAGAGGTGGGCTCAACAAGTGTGTAGTATATCAAAGATTTCTAGGCTATTGCAGTAGGTAAATTTCCGATCACTGACAGATCATTTCTTGGTGTAGTTTCAGTTTTTATCTCTTGATATAAGTTAATGGGATTATCTACAGGGCCATCTGGGGGGGGGGGGGGGGGAGTGAAACTAGTTCAGACAAGTGAACTGCTAGAAACTCCTCAATGCATTGATTGAAATTTTTAACCCGTTTCTTTCGTCTTACTAACTTAAAAAATTTACTGTAAGAAACAAAATCAAAGTATCATTGTTAAAAGTTTTTTTTTGTTACAATTTAAAATGTATGCTTCATAATAAATAATTGATTAAAATTCACGTAACTGTAACATGAAAAACTTTTCACATCTAATCGAAAATCCACTATTTTCAGTCCTATTTAGAAATATTTATCACGTACTATACTTTATATTCCATGTTATTAAAACAAAATTGAATGTATCTTTTTATTGTCTAGTAATAACGCGCGACACACAGGGACACGTTATAGGCGACAATTTAAATTTATACAATTTTAAAAAAAATTAAAATGGTAATCATTTGGTAACGTGTAGCTGCCATTGTAGATACCTGACATGCGCGTCAACAAGGGGGCTAACTCATCCAGCTCACCATTAATCGCAGTAGTTCCTTTGGTTTCCGAGTTGACTTTTCTTTAATTACATTTAAAAAGTGACTCCACTTTTTTGTGTGTTTTGTTTCAAATAGGCAGTGACGTTCATTTAGTCGTATTTGTATGAACCCGAATAAAAAAAACAAAAACGATGACCTGAATGGGGGGTTTTCGTTCCCTAAAGGGTGATGTTACTGACTGCGATGACAAATTTTAGTTCACACTGTTTGACTGTGGGCGGCATCCAACAGGTAGATTCAAAAGTAATGCCACGATATAAGAGAAGATTGCGTTTCACCGACAAACACTAAACGGGAGCCGAAACAGATTCGATCCTCTTACATTTTAAATTCCGGGAGACTATCTAATTGACTAAGGAGTTTCGTTTTAAGGGCAGACTGTAGGGTAAAAAAATAACAACACGTAGCTATTTTAAAATTAAAGAATTAAATAATTCTATAAATCACACATTGTGAAATGTTCACAAGCTGCTGTGGAACCCGTGACACGCTACTGTTTAGCCGCTGATTTATCCCAATGTACTGTTGAGAACTTATGGTAGTATTTCATTATGTAACAAGCATGTTGCTTATGTGCTTCGTTTAAAAACAGACATATTTGTCTCTTGTCATTAATTTATTTAAAATGTATATTTAATATATTTTATTGTCTGTGATATATATATATATATATATATATATATATAATATATATATAATATATTTTTTTTTGTGTTATATATATATATATATATATATATATATATATATATATATATATATATATATATATATATATTTATATATAATTATGACGGTCTGAAAATATTTATTATACAAAATCAACTCTAGTGCCAAAAACATCTTTAATTTTTGCTATATTTAACATTTTGATAAACTTATTTGTAATTTTTGTATAATTTTTCTATCAATAATAAACCACAACCGACGA